GAATCGCTTGGCTTTGAGACATCTGCAACAAAATTGAGAAGGGTTGGAGATGTGTTTGAGACATCCGTGAAAACTCTTCATAAATAATTTGTCCCTCAAATGTTTGGAACATGTTTCATGTCCAAGCACCTGATCTGAGTCTCTGTGACTCAAGTAAGGACACTGAGAACCTCCGCCACCGTTGCTCCAAAATGTTTTGGAGAGTAACTGGAAATACTAATTACCAACGTGTCACCAGCAGTTACATCACGTGAGATACTGCCCTGAAGGTGGCATCTCTCTGAGCTGTGTTGAACTCCTTTCGCAAGCTGACTCATCCCAAACAACTAGTGGCACATCTGCACTCTGAGCAGCCACTTTTACTTTTTATTTATTTTTATTACGGTTTGCAAAACTGCAGTCCTGGTCATGCACATTATGTTGGTGCCTGCCTCTTTCCACATCAGCTTGATTTGTTCCCACCTTGGCAGCAGCCCCCACACTTATGGGTTCATCTGCTGGAGTATACCTTTGAGATGAATACTGGCAGAGTTGCACCAGTTTTTGAGTGATTATTTGTCTTCAGAGCGATTCTTAGACCTGGACTCTTGTCTTTGTTGTTTTCTGTCAGAAAAGAGCTCGTAGGAAGGAGTCCAAATGCAGCAGTAGCTCGAGACAGGTTAGAGACGCCCACGGTGACTTTGTGACATTTCAAAAGAAAGATAATCATACAACTTTACTGAACATGTTCAAAACTCAAGCAGCATAGCTACACGCCTCTGTAAACACATTAAAGTCGGGACATTGCAGAGAATCCCTCATGGATACCGCTCAACAAATCCTCTCAGCCCAACGTGATGCAGCGAAGAGAGGACTTGAAGAAAAGATGGCAGGATTACTTGACACGGAGGAGACGAGTGCAGATAAATGGATTCAGACAGACTGGAGACCATTTCTCTGGTCATTTATATTTCAAACCTGCAGCTTCATCCACGTATCCCTGCAGGACACAAAGTGTCCCTTGTTTAAATTGAAAGTGTTTTACAAGTGTGTTAGCCCCCATAAATTATTCTGACAACTTTTCAGGCAACGAACATGTGCAATTGTCCAATTAATGTTTTAAAAGATTGCTACATGTGTTTTTAAATGGACTTTTGAAGAAAGGATGTTGCAGATAATGTAATGAAAAATGGAACATCGCCGGACACGGTTGAAGCTTTAATGGGGATTCAGTGTTTCTGGAGCCCAGGGGCTCCAGCTAGCAGCACCAGAAGATCCACTTTTCATAAAAATGTTGAAACAGGATTGATGAATAATTAATGATCCCGCGCTCCCAAACAAGGGCTGATTTGTGATGCTAACAGCGGCAGACCTCGGCTGAGTGACCGAGAAAAAAGGTGACATCTCCGGAACGACAAATTAATGAAAAAAGAATGTTCTTTAAACTTTTTCACCGCGACTTCTTTCTGTCACAGCTGTTTAACATTCGGACTCAGCAGCCGTCATTCGGCGTTTAGTGTTTTACCTGAAGCTCCCATACACCTCCAACATCCTCGTCAATGAATCACGGGTTTACAACCAGAATACAGATGACTCAACAAACAAGTGAAAGGAAAAATATTCACACTGAAATCAAGACCCCCCCCACCCCCACCCCCCACCCCTGGGGCTGAGCAGTGCCTTTACCTGCAGGCTCAGAGAAACTAACCCTCTCACACAGAGGTGAACACATTAATGCACTAATTCAGACGTGCACCTCACAGACGTTTTGAAGAGTTTGTGTGAATTTGTGAGAGAAACGGTTTTTATTTCCGTCTGCTCGTGTCCATCCGTATGGAATGTGCGCGCGCTGGAATTGATCGTCACGGCAACGTTGAGCTTCGTGTGATTTATTGATTTGTAGGACAGATTTAAAGTTCCTTTAATCCAAAAGAGAAAAGGTCTGGGCTATATTTTTTATTTACATGTAACAGTTGGCATCACGGTGGCTCAGTTGGTAGAGCTGCTGACTCTTAACGAGAAGGTCGTCAGTTCAAATCCCGGCCAAGGGCCTTTCTGGGTGGAGTTTGCATGTTCTCTCCGTGCTTCATGGGTTTTCTCCAGGTACTCCAGTTTCCTCCCACAGACCAAAAACATGCATGTTAGGCTGATTGGTAACTCTAAATTGTCCTGAGGTGAGAGAGAGAGTGAATGGTTGTTCGTCTCGTTTGTGTCTATGTGTCCCTGTGATGGACTGGAGACGTGTCCAGGTGTCCCTGTGATGGACTGGAGACCTGTCCAGGTGTCCCTGTGATGGACTGGAGATTAGTTCAGTTGTCCCTGTGATGGACTGGAGACCTGTGCAGGTGTCCCTGTGATGGACTGGAGACTAGTTCAGTTGTCCCTGTGATGGACTGGAGACCGGTCCAGGTGTCCCTGTGATGGACTGGAGACCTGTCCAGGTGTCCCTGTGATGGACTGGAGACCGGTCCAGGTGTCCCTGTGATGGCTGGAGACCTGTCCAGGTGTCCCTGTGATGGCAGGAGACCTGTCCAGGTGTCCCTGTGATGGACTGGAGACCTGTCCAGGTGTCCCTGTGATGGACTGGAGACCTGTCCAGGTGTCCCTGTGATGGACTGGAGACCTGTCCAGGTGTCCCTGTGATGGCTGGAGACCTGTCCAGGTGCCCCTGTGATGGACTGGAGACCTGTCCAGGTGTCCCTGTGATGGACTGGAGACCGGTCCAGGTGTCCCTGTGATGGACTGGAGACCTGTCCAGGTGTCCCCTGCCCCTCACACAGTGATAGCTGGACATGGGCACCAGTTACCTCCACAACCCAAACAAAGAAAGAAGTGGGCAAAGATGATGGATGGATGTAATAATTGATCAAAAGTTTTTCAGAGTTGCTCCTTTGGGTTGGACTTTTGAAGAACAACTGCGAGTTTTAACATAAGAAAATAAATAAATAAATAAATGAATATATATAGTGTATGTATATACCAGTATATGTATTGTGTATATATATATATATATATATATACACACAGTATATACAGTATATATATATATACACGCGACCATTCTTTAATAGTTTTTTTGTTTTTTGCATTGATGGACCTAAACAAAAAAAAACTGGTCACACAACTGTATCAGTAACTAGAACCCTCACGATGTGCGTGCACGTCCGATGTTAATGAGCGAGGTTTGCAGATAAAAAAAATTAATTCAGCAAAATTCTGCAAAAATGAAAGTTGTTTAGAAAAACCACCGTTGTTTCCTGCTTAGACGCTGCTCTCCTTTAATATCCTGATGCATGCTCAATAATCCAGGTAGAAAAATCCAAAAAAGTTCAATCTGGTCCTCTGGACATTCAAAAAAAAAAAAAAAAAAAAAAAACCCTTTTTTTTTTTTTTTTTTTTTTTTTTTTTTTTTGAATGTCCAGAGGACCAGATTGAACTTTTTTGGGTGCTCTCCTTTAAATTTAATTATCTTTAAAAGTTGAGCAGCTGTGTAGTTCTGTGTGCGTGTTTGTCTGTTAGCAAAATATTTTGTAAACTACTGAAACTTTCAGAAAGTGATGTGATGGGCTTTTTTCAGTGGAGTAAAGTCATAACTTTATAAAAGTGAAGTCATTTAGACGGTGATGGAGTCTGCAGACCCAAACTGGTTCTTTTTAAAACCTGCAGATGTAAATCATCTGACGGAGGAGATAATAGAAACAAGGAGGACTCGTTGTGCCGACTTGTTAAAACAAAAAAGCATCCGAGAACTTGAGAAACTGAAATAATTTTCTTTACTCCAGGACATTTTGAATATGGATAACGTGTTTGAAATAGTTTGTCTACAACGTAACTGAAGTGTGTTTTCTCCAGAGTGGATTTAATGGGTTTGATTCACAAAGAAAATATTCATGTTGCAGCCGAGTTTTGTAAATAACTTTTCACCCACATTTAAATCAGCACATCTAACTTAGCTGATATATGAACAGAGATCGATGCTGGAGATATTTGGATAAACACTGGGTTTGCTCACATAAATGCATGAACATACAGACGTCTGTTTTTATTCCATCGTGTTGTTCTTTCTGGCTGATCGTCTCCTTCATCGGCCCAAAAGTTAAAATATTATCTTTCGTACACGTTCTGTGACATTTCTCCCAAGCTGCAGCCGTCATGGATAACTTCTTTATACCTCATTCTATTTTTTGTTAATTTTTTTAACAAAATGTGAGCAGCCATAAAAAATGCTGTATACTGTTGAGTAAATGGGCAGAAAAAGCAAAGTGAAATATTTTGTTACATGAAACATAGTTTCAAATATTTTAGCAACACTGAAGACTTTTTTCAGCGTTGTGATACCTTGACTGTTTTATTCTGCAGTTTTGTGTCTAAAAGTAATTTATGCTCGCAAAGAAAAGATAGAAAATATATTTTGACACAATGTTTTTTCTTAAACATTCTTGTTTGAAGGGTTTAATTCCTCGCCTGTCGTCTTTGGTCCTTTTGATAAATTGTTCATGAGACCTTTAATAGTGCCAGCGTGCGGCTCGTCACCTGGACAAATCTGTTTTTACGTTTGCGTACGGCACGACGAGGCTTTGTGCTGAAGACGGAGTCACTCAGGTGATTTGTGCTTCTTCGCAGCTCGGCCTCTTTACGGCTGCAGAAACGGATAAAATCAAATAAAAAAATTTCTCGTATGTTTCTGTCGAACAGGATTCCAAATTTATGAGACTGTTTTGAGTCAAAGTGGGGTGGAACAGAATAAATGGACGTTTCAGCATCGAACAAGATTTTTTCCTGTTTCAGTTGCCAGAAAATGGCAACAGTAATTCTTTAGTCGGGTCAGAATTGTTCTAATGGTCTCGGCGTCAGCGGAACAGAACACAAAATGATGACGTTTTACAGATGAAACTTGTCTTTCTCACAACAACTTCTCTGACTGGAGTCTCACGCCCTTTTATGTCTTTTCTTCCTGTTTCCTGTCTTTGGCTCCGCCCCTCCTGTCCCGTCCTGTACCTGCCTTGCCCCTGCTCCAATAGAGAGATTCACACGTGGAGAACTCTGAGCGTGGGGTATCGTATGTTTACTTCTAGACATGAACGCATCCACAAAGTTCCTCACTGTGACTCTCTGCTTTCTGACATTTTGCAGTTTTACAAAAATGCATCTTATGACAACGAAACAAAACCAGAAGTAGTTAACTGTGAAGTGATGTCATGTTTGTTACATGTTCTTATCGTGTTTTACTTGAAGCAGAAACCAGTCAGAGTGATCTCAGTTTGTTAAACAGCTTCTCAGAGCATGAACCAATTAAAGTGAATTTCAGACCAACTAAAGATTTCCTGGCAGTTTGAACAAAATCAGGTATTTTTACACCCCGTCACTTTTGCATGCAGCAGTTGTGCTAGTTGCTCAAACGTTTGTGTTGCTAAGCTAGCTGCATGTGCTAATATCCAACGCTGTGGAGGTGAGTCGACGTGTAATCTGTCTTTCTCTGTCAGTCAGAAACACGTTTTATTAGAGACGGCTAAGTAAGTGAAGGCATTTTCACAGAGTTGGCTGAAACGATGAGCTGAGGATGTTAGCGTTAGCCTCAAGTAGCACGCTGCGTCGGCTCAGACCGCAGTGCATCATGGTCTGTGGATGAAGTCGGCTCTTCCTGTGCGCTGCTGTACTGAACAGGTGCTCGGTGCCCAACGCTGCTGCAGGTCTTGATGATCCATTCAGATTTTTTGCTCACATGACAGTTTTTGCACGGTCGTTGAATTGTAATTTAAATTCAACCTTCATCAGACTCCAGTGAAGAAGACGTGACGTCACGCGCAGCACGCTGTTTACAGATCTAAATATGGACGCCACGCACGCCGGACTCATTGTGACGTTGCTCTTCAGTTAGATCTGCTTGTTTTGTCTGAGTTTACATTTCTTCTAGCTGCTTGCTGCCGGCTCACGTGCAGAACTGCACTTCTGGATGAGACGTCCTGAAAACAAACGATCCCTTTATGCTAGGATCCAGTCGCTCCAACACGCTGGTAGAGCCATATGTTGGTGTAAATTCTCCGTCATCCAGGACATGACAACTCTAAAATGTTTTGGAACAACCTGAAGCAGCTGACTTCTGCTCTGTAGCTGAAAAGGTGCAGACTGTCGAGCTTTAAGCTGCACAACGTTGGGATCGATATCATCAATACTTGGGTCTGTCCGCGTCCCTTTGCTTGGATAAGTAAAACACAGATGACGTGTAAAACGAGTCTCATACGGGCAACAGTTCTGCTCGGTGCCACTGTTGCCTGCAGTGCGCATGCAGCCCAAGGTGGATGTAAAAATAGTTCCAGCACTCCGGACTGTCGGACTCTGTGCAGGACGGTTCTGGGTCTCGCTCGTGTTCGCTTGTGAAATGGTGACGACCGTCCCATCAAAACAGACGAGGTGTAAATGGATTTATGAGAGCAGCTTCCCAGCTGGAACAGTTTTAGGCAGAAGCTGCCTCTGGTGGTTCCTGTTAGCCGTTAGCTCGACACGTCCACGAGGACGCATCTGGTTCTCCAAACTGAGATCACTTTGCTTTCTGCTGCAGGTAACATACTTACAAAGCCTCCCAGTCTACCTAACCTTTACCAGTTCCTTCCAGTAAGAACTCATTAAAGGAGGGAGCTCAGAGTTTTAGCTCGGGGCAGCTGTTTACCCCTCACAACGTTGAGCATTAATAAGCTGCTGACTTGGCCCGTTCTCTTCGTAATTGCTGCCGTTACGAATGTTGAAGAAGAAATGTGCTGTCCTAAGCAACGTTAAACCAAGAGAAACACGAACTCCTCAAATGAGTCTGAGTGACACGTGTAATTTTCTCTTGCTGAGAAAATCAGCAGGATCTGAAGCTCCGCTCAGCACCATTAAACGCTCAGAACCGGGTCAGTAAAGGCTTTAAAAGCCGGCCTCAGAGGTCGAAGGCGAGCCGTTCGCCTTGTTAGCCTGTTCCTTTGTCCTTCTGAGCTAAAATATACGTCCTTACATGTTGGGATGTTTTAGCTGAGGTTTAGCTGCAAATTGGACATTTAAACTAAAAACATGAGTTTTAGCTTTTAATATTCAGGGAAGAAACGTTGTACAAACATGAGATGCTTTTTGTAAAACTGATATTCTTTGTGTTTAAAGAGACATAAATCCATCTCACGTTCATTTTGTCTGCATGATGAGAGAAGTTTTACTTGTTGGATTCTTCCTCTGTCATTTGTTTGATGCATTGTCTAAATAATGCACTTATTTAATGAAATGTCCACAGCAGTAATCCAATACGGGTGAAATCAAGTGCGTTTGACGACGTCGTGCTCTCCAGGATGGGAGACGGTCGGCGTAATTAAGTTTCAGATCAGAGTAAGAAGTGATTCAGGAATTCAAAGGAGGAAAAAAAACAGTTTTGGTGTTGGAAAATAAAAAAGCGGTGAAATAAATGAGTTTTAGTGCGTAGGTGAGAGATTAGTGTTTGGATTTAACAAATCAATCATAGGTGCATGATTGAGGAGGAGATGTGAGGTGCTGCCAAATGAAAGAGACGCTTCATGAAGATCTGCACCCACGCTGTTCTGGGCCGCACACGATGCGTTCTGCGCTCATCCTGCATTTAATCCCACTTTACACTCAGTCACATACACCTCTGTATTCTAGTTTAATCCCACTTTACACTCAGTCACATACACCTCTGTATTCTAGTTTAATCCCACTTTGCACTCAGTCACATACACCTCTAGTTTAATCCCACTTTGCACCCGTACACCTCTGTATTCTAATTCAATCCCATTTTGCACCCGTGCACCTCTGTATTCTAATTTAATCCCACTTTGCACCCGTACACCTCTGTATTATAATTTAATCCCACTTCACACTCAGTCACATACATCTCTGTATTCTAGTTTAATCCCACTTTGCACCCGTACACCTCTGTATTCTAATTTAATCCCACTTTGCACCCGTACACCTCTGGATTCTAATTTAATCCCACTTTGCACCTGTACACCTCTGTATTCTAATTTAATCCCACTTTGCACCCGTACACCTGTGTATTCTAATTTAATCCCACTTTGCACCCGTACACCT